CATCACCAGCTCTATTTTGTATTTTATTTAGAGACAGGGTTTCACTGAGTTGCTTAGCACCTCACTTTTTGCGGAGGCTGGCCTTAAACTCATGATCCTCCTGTCTCAGCCTCCAGAGCCACTGATATTCAGGTATGTGCCACGGCCCTCAGCTGAGGATCACCTTCTTAAAAACAGGATCTTCCTAAATTGCTTAGGGCCTCATTAAATTGCTGAGGCTAGCTTAGAATTTGAGATCCTACTACCTTAGACTCCCAAGTCACTGGGATTACAAGCTTGGGCCACACAGCCAGATAAAAACACAATAATAATTAGTTTAATAAATAATTTTTTGGCAATACTAAGAATTGAGCCCAGGGTCTCGAACATACTAGGCAAGCATTCTGCCACTGAGCTACAGTCCTTTCTGTTTTTAGATAGGATCTCACCAAGTTGCTGAGGCTATTCTCAAATTTGTGATCTTCCTGCCTTATCTTCCCAAGTAGCTAAGATTAGAGACATATGCCACCATGGGGGATCCCATAATTTTTCTTTAAAAGAAAGGAAACAGTACACCAAGTGTACCTATGTTTACTATTAAATCTTTCAGCTATCAGGCTAGACGTTAAAAAGAATACTACTCTGGGGTTGGGGCTGTAGCTCAGTGGCAGAATGTCTGCCTGGCATGTGTGAGGCACTGGGTTCAATCCTTAGCAATACATAAAAATAAACAAATAAAATATAGGCATTCTGTCTGTCTACACTACCAAAATTTTTTTTCTTTTTAAATACTACTACTCTGTCTGCATTGTGCATTCTTAAATTAGGCTAAAACAGAATGCATTACTCTTTATATCCCTCACCCTTCTCTCTTCCTTTTTAGTGCTGCAGATTGAACTCAAGGCCTTCCACGTGCTAAGCCCATGCTATACTACTGAGCTATATTCTCAGATCTATCTTTCACCTTTAAAGCAATTAAAAAAAAAAAACAAAAAAACTTTGGGCTGGGGGCTCGATGGTAGAGTGCTTGTTTTGCATACAAGAAGCCCAAGATTCTATCCCCAGCACTACAGGAAAAAAAAACTTTCAGAAGTTTTAAAATAAAATTCAAACTTCTTAGTATAGTGCCCAAGCCCTTATGACTTGGCTCCTGTCATGGCTATAGTCATCTCCAGTTAAACTCCATGGACACTTATGATCTAGCCATACAATTTATTGAAAGTTGCAAAGTATCCCAGTGAAATGTGGCTTTTACTTAGCCTTATAAACTTTAAATGGCCAAAAATATATATATTTAGACAGTAAATGAAAACCTAATACACTAAAGGGAATAACTGTAATGTGTGACAGACTAATATCAACTATCCCTAACATAAAAATGCCAATATAGCTGGGCATATGCCTGTCATCCTAGTGATTCAGGAAGCCAAGGCAGGAGGAGAGTATGTTCAAGGCCAGCCTGGGCAACACAGAAAGACCTTGTCTCAAAATAAAAAAAAAATTTAAAAGGCTAAGGATGTAATTCAGCAGTAGAGCATGCCTTGGTTCACTCCCCAGCACTGCAACAACAAAGTGTTTGTAGAACACTGGAAATTGCTGAAATGTTCATTAATGGGAATAGTCATACTATATATTATGAAGTTTTCAAAAAAAGACAAGGTAGATTTATTTATCCTAACAATAAAAAGACAATAAAGTGTAAAAGGCAAATTGTAAACATCATGTGTAGTATGATTTTCCTTGGTGGTACTGGGGATTGAACTCAGGGGTGCTTTCCCATGGAGGTGCATTCCCAGCCCTTTTTATTTTTTTCTTTTGGGAGTCTCCCTAAGGTTCCCAGGTTGGCCTTAAACTTGCAATCCTCCTGTCTCAGCCTCCCAAATCCCTGGGATTACAGGCTGGCAATATGATCCCACTTCTATACAAAAAAGATCATATATAAAGTTATTGCTAATGTTTTTATATTTTATGTAAATAAGAATGTTTTTCTATTTTCTTTTCTTTACATCAGTGCTGGGGATTAAACTTGGGACTCTCACATGTTAGGCAAGCAATCTACCACTGAGTTTGCTTCCTAAAAATGTCAACTTCTATTACTGAAAAAGAATATTCATAAGTACATTTTCAACATCATTGAAATCTATTAAGAAAAAAGTTAAAATATGTAATGATAGGTATTTGGGGGGGTTTGTGCTTTTTAGTGAATGCTTAGCTTACATGTTTATCAGTGAGCTACATTCCCAGCACTAATGATAGCTTTGGGGGTGGGGGGTAGTACCAGGGAATGAACCCAGGGGCACTTAACTGCTGAGCCACATCCCTTGCTTGGATTTTGTTTGTTTGTTTCTGAGACCGAATCCCGATAATTTGTTTATGGCCTCATTAAGTTGCCGAGGCTGGATTTGAACTTGCAATCCTCCTGCCTCAGCCTCCCAAGCCTTAATGATGGTTTTTAAAGCAACTAAGAATTATCTAACTTTGTGTGAGGTTGACAAGTTACTAATTCAAAGTTTATATAATAAAGAGAGGATGTTATTCTTTTTTAATTTTTTGAACAATCACTACATTCAAATGAATTAAAAATTCAGAAGTTACACAATGGTAAATTGTGAAATCTCTTCCTCCCATCCACTTCTACCCAGTCAGCACCCCACGTGTAACCATATTACATATTTACATATTTCAATGAATCTTTCAAAAACAGTCTCCACACACACAGTTCAAGTAAAAAGTATGTTTTTTCTTTTTTTAAAAAAAAAAACAACTTTTATGACCTTTATTGTATTGTTCAAATGAGGAATTCTCAATAAATGAGTTTGTGAACATGAAATGTATTTTCAATATCAGATATCATAGTCTTATGTTGGCAGTCTGAAGGAGGTATTTTTATGTTGGAATCATATTTGCACCTTTCTCAAGTAGTAGGAATTTCATTGGGTTCCTGAGGGAGAAACAAACACTAAACAATGGTCATCTAAATGATGGCAACATTTACAAAACACCAAACATGGTGATCTTACTGTAAAAACTCCTGGTTCATATGCTTAACCAACATTAGATTCACAGATGCATAGCTCATGTTATAGTAAAAAGTAGGAATTTTAGGACTATAACACCATTGACGATATTTAACTATTGTTCTCTACTAATTTTTCATTTTTTCACACTTGCTGGTCTCTGCCTCAGATGTTCATCTGAGCACTTGTTGGTGCAATACTCCCCTTTTCTACTAAACATGACAGTTTACTTTTATTATCACCTATCACACTACTTCATGTTTCTGGTTCCCTGTGTGCTGAGTTTCTTCAAGGCAGGGACCATGACTTTTTTTTTCTTGGTACTGGGGATTGGACCCAGGGGTGTTTTACCACTGAACTACATCCTCAGCCCTTTTTATTTTGAGAGAGGTTCTCCCCTAAGTTGCTGAGGCCGGCCTACAACTTGCCTTCTTCCTGCCCTCAGCTTCCCGAGTCACTGAGCAACCCCACCCAGCAACTTAAACAGAATTTCTATATTACCAAGCCCTAGTATGATGCCTGGCAGTATTAGACTTTCAGTTAAAAGTGTTAAAGGGGAAAAAAAAAGTATACCAAAGGTGATACTTGAGAAGATAACACCTAAAGTGTTTGTCAGGCAAAACAAAAGCACAGAGGTAAAAAAAAAAAAAAAAGTAGTTTGCAAAACTGAAGATAGTTCTGTGTGAATGAAAAAACAGTTCAAATTAAGAGATAAGGTGGAAGAGGTAGCATGGGATACTTCCAAGGTGAGGTTCAAAATCTTTAGCTTAGTCAAGATATTCCAAGAGATGAAGGTATTCCCAACTAGCTTTGAACCAATTCAGTTCCCTTAGCTATGGCTACAATTGCTTGCAATTTCCTAAAAACATATACCACCACTTTAGTCTTCCCTTGTGCCTTGTCCTTTACTCATATACTTTCTCCCTTCTTTAAAACTCACCTCAATTGCCAACTTCATAGCCAAACTCTACCTGATCTATCTGAAAACAGGAACCTCCCCTGTGCTGACCTCTATCGTAGTTTCTCTTTCAGTTCTTTTGACTCATTTGGCTTCACACTAAAGTCTAAACCTAAAGTCTAAAGTGAATCTGGTGTTTTTAACTTTGTCTCTCCAGTTTCTTCGGTGGTAGATACTGTATTTGTTGTGTTGTTGAATAAGGTAGACAGACTCCATTTCTCACTATGTTCCTGTCATAATATTTGAAAGTCTAAAGACTCACTTTACAGACTGCAAATCCTGGTTAACTGACTGGTGCGACTTAAAAGTGATGTCGAATTATTAATTTGTTAACAGCCTTTATTGCTATTACTCAAACTGGTGGAAATTTGACCACAATCCATAGTTCTCTTTGCATCAAGGTTTTCCAATCGTCTCCCTGTTCAGCCCCAGGATACCTGCCCTGGACACAAAGCAATCAGCAAGATCCAGGAACCTGCAAGGTCGGATGCTGATAGAACGAATGTCTAGGAACCCGCAGTCTGGTGAACTATGAAGCTCTGAGCTGCGCGTGGAAAAGAGCAAGAGGCAAGCCTGTGTGAGCTTGGTCTGGGACTAGGCCCGCCTTGCTCGGCGAGTTTCTTGAACCTCCCGGCTCAGAACTAAAGCGATTAAAGACGCCGAAAAGGGCGAAGGAGGTGCCGGGGGCGGGGTGCCGCGCTTTGTTCCAAAAGGCTCCCCTTCTGAAACAGCTCCTTTCCAGGACCCTGTACCCGATCCCTTCCTGGTCCTCCTGAACGGTGACCCCACTGATTTGGAACCCCAAATTGCCTCAGAATCGCACTGCTCCTAAGCCATACCGGCTCCAGCTGGGGACATCAGTACTTCCTAGCCCGCACAGCGGAGCTAAGGACTCCAGAAGATTCCACGAGCCTCGGGAACCCGGGCTTGCACCCTTCCCCACAAGGCCATTCGGCACAGCCCTTCCCGGCCAGAGCGCCCCCGCGCCGTTGCCGGGTAACCGCGGGGCGGCGGCAGGGGCTGAAGGGGCGGGACTTCCGGCGAGTGACGCGCCCCAGCTCGACTACAAAAGACGACGGCTGCGGCGCGCCGGGCGGAACTTTCCAGAACGCTCGGTGAGAGGCGGAGGAGCGGCGGCTGCCGGGGCTGCACACAGTTACGCGCTCCTTCCCACTCCCTCACAACGGCCCCAGCCCGCTCACCGGTGAGTTTCAGCCCTCGCGCTTCTCAGCCTCCTAGCTAATGCTGTTGGCGGCACCTGGAAGCCGGATGGAGTCGCAGTTGGGAGGCGGTTGGCTCCGCGTGGGCGGGAGGGTTGTCGGTTCCTAGATCCATAATTCCATTTTTTGGAGGGCCGGTGTGGTGCCCCGGCAACCCATCCCCAGGTCGTAGGGAGAGAGTCCAAGACCTTTTTTGAGCCTCCCCCACCCAGCCTAAGCTCTCCAAGGAGCAGCCTTGGGTTTCCCCTCCGTGCGCGCCCCCGCGCCCCTCCGCCCGCGCTCGCTCCGGGTGGGCAACTCTGCGCGCACGCGCAGGAGTGAGGCAGGGGCGAGGGGCTGCGGGAGGAGCCGAGCGAGGCTGCTGCTTTCGCTTCTCCTGTCTCCCCTCCCTCTCTTTGTTGAGGGCTGGGCTTCCCCCTCCGCCCCTTCTATCCTGGGTGGGAGGGAGAAAGGAAGGAAACCTTCACGGTCGGCGCCAAGTGCAGGGGGGAACCTAAGGACGATTAACTACGCTGACCTGAGGGGCGAGAGGGGTTCGGCTGTGAAAGTAGGGAGGTTTTAAGCAATGTGACAAAAATACAGTTAAGCCCTCCTTCCCCAATAATTGTGCCTGGGCGGTGGGGGGGGGGCTTGCTTTCTGGAACCAGTTCCATAAACCCCTCCCTCACCGCATGTACCTCAGTGTCTTAGGGATGGTGTATGGCATTTATCAGTGTACAAAGACAGTGAAAATGTAATCAATGGAGTGAATCTATTAGTGCCCCTTTTGATTACTGTTGTCACCACCTCAGGGGGAAGGGAGAACAGAAGAATCCAGATTACACTACGGAAGCTGTAGTGTAAGAGAGAAGGAACCAGCTGCTAGAATGCTTTTGAATTCCTTGATGATTTTTTGCTTACATTTAGTTACCTAGAACTTGTAGCTGAATTGTCACAGGAATTGTTACATTTCTGTGAAGTTTGGCGGAGGTGGTGTTTTTAAAATCAGATTTTAACAAAGTAACAGTTTGCTGTGCCCTAGTCCTGACTTTACTAATTAAAAACTACCATTTGAAAGCTGATTAAAATTGCATTTTTATTTCAGGCTGTAGAAAATGGTGAAAGAAACCACTTACTATGATGTTTTGGGGGTCAAACCCAATGCCACCCAGGAAGAATTAAAAAAGGCTTACAGAAAACTGGCCTTGAAGTACCACCCTGATAAGAATCCAAATGAAGGTGAAAAGGCAAGTAATATATTTGTGAACATCTGAGTAGTTCTTTGCGGATATGTAAAGTTGTTGTTGTTGTTGTTGTTGTTGTTTTTAAGAAAATTGACTCTCCTTTTCTCAAATAGTTTAAACAGATTTCTCAAGCTTATGAAGTTCTCTCTGATGCCAAGAAAAGGGAATTATATGACAAAGGAGGAGAACAGGCAATTAAGGAGGGTGGAGCAGGTGGTGGTTTTGGCTCCCCCATGGACATCTTTGATATGTTTTTTGGAGGAGGAGGAAGGATGCAGAGAGAAAGGAGAGGTAAGAAAGATCTACTACATGCAGCGAGTTTCAGTAGCTGTTGATCAAAACAAATTTTTGAGAAATCACTCGTTTTAAAATGCTTGTTGACTTGTTGGTATAATGTTGTAGATTGACCCATAAACTGCTTCTGTTTGTTCTGATTTCTGGTGTAATTTTATAAATGAGATTTTGTGTAACTAAAAATAGCTAAGCCAATCAAGTGGTAACAAATGAGTGCTTTTAAAGCCCTTGGTTGGATACATCCAACTCCCTCAGGTTACCAAACATTAATTAAGGGAACAAAGCATAGCAACATAGTTTTAAAACCCTTTGCAAATCTTACTTGGTTCCTGTGCCCTGGAACCCATGGTATGTGCCTTTTTCAGTCAGGTGAGATATTAAAGGTCAGAAATAAATTATTCAAGCTCATAGCAAAGGGAACAGTAGAGGTAGCATTGAAAACATAGGCTCATTGACTGTGTAGCCCATTATCTTTTTAATCTTGATTTATCTTTGTTTTCTCAAAATATGTACATTGACTATTTAGCAGAAAAGTGGTCTGTAGGCTGTACATGGAATAAGTGTTTCAGTCAAGAGAAGACAATCTCACTTTATTCCCTGTGTAGTTTATACAAGCAAGGGCAGATGTTTTTATATACGGGTCTTCAGGAGAGGATTATGTTAATAGTTTACTAAAAACAAAATTAGAAACCCAGATCACTTGTTTAATAAACCATTAGATGGTTTGTCCTACAGAAAAGTATTTGTAGTTTTTATCTTTTTTAAAATAAAGAATTGGCCTAAAATTTATCACTTGACGAAACTCTAGAAACTTTTACTTTTTCCTTGCCTGTACTTTCCACATAAAAGTTACAGTGAGCTGAGAATGATGATATATTCCTGTAATTCTAGATATTTGGGTACTGAGGCAGGAGCATCACAAGCCCCAGGCCTGCAGGAGCAACTTAGCAAGATCCTGATTCAAATTGAAGAAGGGCTTGCGTGTGTAGCACAGAGGTAGAAGAAGGTTCCTGAATTCAGTCCCCAGTACTGTAAAAAGGTTGATGAAAAGGGTGGCTTTCAGCATGCTAACTACATGGACTGTTTGTGATAATAGAACCCAAAGATACAGCTAGGAGCAGAATGATATAGTTGTTAATGCTTCACATTCTATTTAGGAAGTTAAAATGTTCAATAGGCATATTGTCCAGAAAAGAGTTTGAGAACTTTTTTCAGTCATGCATAAGGCAATACTGTTGCAGTGGATAAAGTCCTTGTGGAATCATTAGCTAGAAACTTATTAACTAACCATTGGAAAATGGTTTCATTTCTGTTGTCATACTGTCCTTATGAAGCTTCAGGCCACCTTGGGATCTTTAAATTTGTATTAATTTGGGATAAAAGAGAAAATGCAATTCTTCAGTTGAAGTAATCATCACACTAAACACGTGTGACTAGTGGCTGCTATACTGGACAGTACAACTAAAACATTTCCATTACTGCAGAAAGTTCTGTTGAGCAATGCAGTTATGAGGGGTATGATAAATTTATCCTTTAAAACAACCAGTGCTTGCCCAGTGGTAAATGGCTGTCCCTACTGAATCAGGAAGAAGTAGAAATTGATATTTCAGTAGTGTCTTAATTGGCTTCCCTGTCCAATCTTGACTGGTAGGAATTTACTGTGCTAAAGAATTTTGGATGAAGTAATTGACTCTGTTGCTCAATGTCATACCTGAGTGAAAGCTTCAAAGAAAACATTGGCACAGAAATACGTATTTGAATTATTTGTGAAATGAGCTTACTTAGCTAACCTTGAATTTGGAGGTAATATCTTTGATTGCCATATTTCTAAGATGATAGTCTGTGTCCTTAGGCATGTTAGTCTCTGACCCAATTTTCTTCATCTGTAATTTTATCAGTTCCACGATCACATGTGATAATGTGGTAAACATTCTGTGAATAGGTGCTCAACTGATGATAGATCCTTATGAGGCTCATTTTTCATTATTCTTTACCAGTTTTTATAGTGCCTTCAACATAAGATAATAGCATTCTAGATGGGTTTTTAATGAGTAGTGTTTTGTTCTAGGTAAAAACGTTGTGCACCAGCTCTCAGTAACATTAGAAGACTTATATAATGGTGCAACAAGAAAACTGGCTCTGCAAAAGAATGTGATTTGTGACAAATGTGAAGGTATGATCTTTTAACATTCCTTTACATAACTGAAAATGGAGCTAAAGACTGAATAGGTAAAACTTGACAGATGTGCATTACTGTATCTGTTGCTAAACTTACACATAAATTTCTTTTAAACACTTTTAAGGCCGAGGTGGTAAGAAAGGAGCAGTAGAGTGCTGTCCCAACTGCCGAGGTACTGGAATGCAAATAAGAATTCATCAGATAGGACCTGGAATGGTTCAGCAAATTCAGTCTGTGTGCATGGAGTGCCAGGGCCATGGGGAACGGATCAGTCCTAAAGATAGATGTAAAAGCTGCAATGGAAGGAAGATAGTTCGAGAGAAGAAGATTCTGGAAGTTCATATTGACAAAGGTGAGTTCTGATCCCTAGAGGAAGTTCCATGGCAAGTTTAATAATACTATTTTTAAAAATATACTGTTTTTATAGGTGGGGTTGTGACACAATGGTAGAGTGCTTGCCTAGCATGTGTGAGGCACTTGGTTCAATTCTCAGCACCACATGAAAATAAATGAATAAACTAAAGGTCCATCAACATCTAAAAAAAAAAAAAGCACTGTTATTAATTAGGAAGATTCAGAAACCCTTCAATGTAAAAGAGGGTCATTTTTCTGGCATAAGTGATTGAATAATGTTCCATGCAAACTTAATTCCTGTTGCACCAGAATTCTTTGACCTTTTAAAATTAAATTACAGTTAAGCTGTGTACCCATTCTTAATATCTTGAAGAATTATTAGATTAAAAGTATGCATACTTTTAAGGATTTGGGAGGAGAGAAAGAGGTTTAAATGAAGAATGGCCTCGTTAAAATTCATCTTAAGAACATGTTTAAATGTTCTTATTTGTCCACTTCTTAATTGACTCTTCCCCATTATTAAAATGCTGAATTTTTTGTTCCCTTTTTTTCTTTGCCCCCTTTTCTTTGAAAAACATCTCAGTGTGTTGCCCAGGTGGCATCAAACCCCTGGGCTTAAGCCATCCCCCTGCCTCAGTCTTGTGACTAACTGGCACTGTAGGTGTATGCTGCCATGCCTGTCATAATGTTCCGTTTCTTAATTGATTTGTAAGGATTTAGATGACTCATTCTGGTTTTTTGGCTTTTTAAGTTTTATGATATCCCTCTCAGTTTCTACCTATTGGGCTCTAGGTTATAACTATGTAACTTTTTTTATATTTATGCATTTTAGGATTAAACTATTTTTGTCATTTTCTTAATTTTGTTGGTTTATTTTAAAATTTTAGATGTATTACAGCAATGCATGTTCATTTTAGAAATATGTATAACCCCAGAGAAAAATTGGTTATGTGTAATTCTGTGAAACAGTCAACATTATGGTATTAATCTCTTTCAGAGTGCTTTTATAAAATGAAACTAATATTGTATCTGTCAAACTGGAACTGATAATATGAGCATCTTTTCATAGTAACATACAACTCAAATTAATTAAGTAGTTACATTAAAGTTATCCTTTGTGCATCTGCAGATTCAGCCAACTTTGGGTTGAAAATATTTGAGGACTGTATATTCAATACAATATACAATATATATTCAGTACAATATTCATTGTACTGAATATGTACAGATTTTCCCCCCCTTATCATCACTTCTTAAAACAATGTAATACAAAAACTATTTGCAACTTATTGTACTATGTTACAAGTAATTTAGACAAGATTAAGTGTGCAGGAAGATGTGCATAGATTATATGCAAATGCTACATCATTTTATTGTATAAGGGACTTCAGCATCCTCAGATTTTGGTGTTTGAGGCAGATCAAGGACCAGTTAGTTTCCTGCTAGTATCAAGGTGTAACTATAGATATATACATATATATTATCAGGGAGAAGTAGAAATTGGTATTTCTGTGGTGTTTTAATATTGGCTTCCCTGGCCAATCAAGGTATAACTATAGTTATATATATTATTGGGAAGAAGTAGAAATTGATAAATAAATGATATTTTATATATATATAAAGTCTATCATGTAAATTATGGTAACTGCCCTCTCACAAAAATTTTTAATTAACCAGGTAACTTTTACGTATTTTTATAAATTTGATTTACAAATGAATTTAACTGGCCCATGATGAATAGGGTTTGTGCTTTGAGTTTTACTCTTTAGTTTGATGTCTTCTCTTAAACACAGCAATATATACTTAGAGCATTGATTGCAAATGATGCTATTAATGGTGTGCTCTTTACATTGAGAACAACCAAGAAAAATTGGCTGAATTTAACTGCTTTACTGATGTAAAAAGACTATTACTTTGCTACTATATAGTTTAAAGACAGATTATTAAATTTTGTCAGTACTGATCGGTATTGGTTTAAGTCCATACTGAAGTATTTGTGGATTAATTTTGCTTCAGAATAACGTGGGGAGAACATGTGGAAGTACAATACATAAAATATTAATCATAGGTTAACCATGGAATCTCGATTAATCTATGGAAATCCATTGCACTGTTGACTGCATTTGTATGGAGTGGATGTTTATGTATGCATACATATGCTTATTTCTAAAATGTGGAATCACTATTGCTTATGTTCAGTGACCTTGGTAATCATTAGTTTAGGAGATACTGCTACTGTGCAATCTGAAAAAACAAGATTTTCTTATATAAGTTGTTAGAGATGTTATAGCCTTTACTGAACTAAAGTATATGGGGCAGAGAGAAATAGAAGTTGAGGAGAATCTCAGTAAAAATACTGATCTTTTTAAAAATATCCTGCTGGAAAATCGTCTTCCCTGTGTTTTTCCTTTTGGGGGGATGGTGCTGAGGATTGAACCCAGAGCCTTATGCATGTAAGCCAAGCACTCTACCAACTGACCTATATCCCCAGGCCCCTATCTGTGTTTTTGACATTGGCCACTAAACCTCCTCACCCTTCCCAGTTTTTTTATTGCTGTAGTATTGAAGAATTGAAACCAGAGCCTTGCATGCATGTGCCGAACAAGTGTTCTATGATCAAGCTATACCCTTAGACCCAATATTGCACATTTTAAATATTTTTAGTTTATATCTAGATACTCTATTATAAATGGTACAATAGTGAAAAGAAAGTTGATTTATTACTGTTAGACTTAATATAAATAACTTGAAAAAGGTTTGTTTTAAATCTTTTTTTTAAGATGTTGATGGACCTTTATTTTATTCATTTATTTGTATGGGATGCTGAGAATCAAACCCAGTGCCTCACATGCTAGGCAAGTGCTCTACCACTGGGCCGTGATGCAAGCCTCTTGGAAAAGATTCTTAAATGTTATAGTGGAAGTAATTAACGTTTTTTGCCTATAATGTTTACTATCTGCCAGTTTGGTACTGGCCTAGGTATTTTGGGGTGGGGAGCAGTTTGCACAGTTTGTTGCTTTGTACTTTTGTGTGTAACTTGATGGCCCTGTCCCCCTTCTTTTTTTTTTTCTTTTTTTTTTTTCCTTAATGTGATAGCATAGGCATTTTTTACTTAAATCCTCTCAACAGCTCTAATGAGTTAGGTGTCTCTTTGGGAAAGTTGAAACTTAGAAAGGTTATGTGACTTAGTTCCCCAGAGTAGTCCAGCCACTAAATAGCAGCTCTGAGCTTTGAAGTCTTGTCTGTTTGCTTCTAGAGTTTGTTTTCTATTTGGTAGCTTTCTTTAGTAGCAAACTGAACTGATTAAGAAGTCATTAGTCATTTCTCTGATAATTTACCATCCACAAGATTTTAGCATTTGTTTTTCATGTATACATAAACAAATCTGTGTGTTTTAGTAGATTTTGTAGTTCTCACCTCAGTAATGGATGGATATTCAGCAAAAGTACATGCTGTTCTCTTGTTTTTAGGCATGAAAGATGGACAGAAGATAACATTCCATGGTGAAGGAGACCAAGAGCCAGGACTGGAACCAGGAGATATTATCATTGTATTAGATCAGAAGGACCATGCTGTTTTTACTCGGTAAATACTTAAATGACATTGTATATTTGGTTGTTTTTATTTGTTTTTATTTACCCTTAGAACTTATCCTTAGAATGTTATTTCTGGAAATCCTAATCTGAAACTTAAAAGGTGTATTTTAATTAGGAGATGTTTTCTGTGAGCATGAATGGGTGCTTGGAGGGAAACATCCCTAGGCAAAATTTTACCCTCAGTCATAAGGTCATAACCCTTTAACCAGTTTTCAATCCTGAGTTAGTGATAAATTGAGTTGCTTTTAAGTGTAACTATCTAAAACCATCTCAAAAGAGAAGTTTGGGCTCAGGTGTATGTAAATTCAGGTCTACTGCTATAAAATATTTAACATTGAGTTTATAATGAACTTATGTTGAAACACAAGAAAGTTAATCGTTAACAGTGAATTATTAAATATATCCATCGCTGAAACATGAGAGACTGATAGGATTGGGACAACATCTTCAAAGAACTGGTTTAGAATGAATTATGTGGGGTGGTGTTTCACAAATGTCTCAAAAATAATGAGAAATGCTGATGAGTTCAGGATGACATATATCAATAAGGAAATTCTTACTATTGCTTGAAATCTGTTGTCTCCATTATTTAATTTCACAGAGCCTAAATAATCTAGGACCCAGCCCAGGTCTGTTTAAATTTATACACAAGTAATGTTCTCTGTTCCTGATGTATATTTGCTTTCTTTTTATTTATTTACTTTTTTATTTATTTATTTATTTTTACTTCTTTAAAAATGTTTTTTAATTACTTGTTGATGAATACAATGCCTTTATTTTACTGATTTTTATGTGGTACTAGGGATCAAATCCAGTGCCAGGCAAGTGCTCTATCATTGAGCCACAGCCCCAGCCCTGTATTTGCTTTCTTTAAACCTCATTCTTATGAGAATTTTTTCTTTTCCAAGAAACTTTATTTTAAATGTTAAGTGATACAGGTTACCAGAATGTGTGGAAGGATTTTAAAACCTTGTCCAGGAACTGCTGTTCCCAGTTCTTAGCTCTGTTCCATTTTTAGGGGGATTGGGAGGGGTTACTGTATGTGAACTGCATCGTTTCTGTTCAAGAAGAAAGCAGCGAGGTGCATGCCTATAATCCTAATGGCTTGGGAGCCTGAGGCAGGAGGATCACGAGTTCAAAGCCGGCCTCAGCAACAGCAAGGCACTAAGCAACTCTGTGAGACCCTGTCTCTTAAATAAAATACAAAATAGGGCTGGGGATGTAGCTCAATGGTTGAGTGTTCCTGAGTTCAATCCCTAGTACCCAAAAAATTTTTTAAAAAGAAGAAAGCAGTTGCCCACTCTGGTACTTATAATCATTGGTAGTTTGAAAGATGTAAATATGTGCCATGTTTTCATTGATATAGACGAGGAGAAGACCTTTTCATGTGTATGGACATACAGCTGGTGGAAGCATTATGTGGCTTCCAGAAGCCAATATCTACTCTTGATAATCGAACCATAGTCATCACCTCTCATCCAGGTATGGTAACTAGATGAGTTTTTCCCTATTTTAGTTTTCCTAATCTAATAACTAAGAAGTAGAGGCACTTGAAGATAGCTGGTATTTTTTCTTCCTCCATTATATATCCTTCCCTGGGTTGATAAGGTCATAAATAGAAGAGACTAGGATTGTTCTGCCTCATAAATTATAACTCCTATCAGTTAGGACATTATTGTTTTCCTTGCCATGTAAAAATATAGCCATACTTAGAACTTGACTTTGATGTTTTTAGGTCAGATTGTCAAGCATGGAGATATAAAGTGTGTGCTAAATGAAGGTATGCCAATTTATCGTAGACCATATGAAAAGGGTCGCCTAATCATCGAGTTTAAGGTAAGCTATAATACTCTAGGGTATTTGAGAATGGTTAGCTTAACCACTGGTTAGAATTAAAGTCAAAAGAGCTTTGTTAATCTCTTAAGAAGGATTAAATGTTTCTGAGGGTGGATTCTTATGTTTTAAATATCTGTTTGCTGAGTGAAGCAGTGCTAGAACCAGCGTTTTTTGTTTTGAAGACCTGGCTTTTGCTTGTTGTATTAGCACATGCTCACCAATTCATGAGACTGTGGCAGGAGATCACAAATGCAAGCCCAGCCTGGGCAACTTAGATCTTCTGTCTCAAATTTTTCTTTAGAAGTTTGGTATGTAGCTCAACACTTGGCCCAATATACACAGGGTCCTCGGTTTGATCCCAGTACAACAAGAACAAAAGAAGACCTGACTTTTGTCAAAATTCTTAAACTGGGGTTCACAGTATTGACCTTTGGCATATTCATTTAAAAAATGTTTTTCTGGGGGAAATGAGTCCATGATACTTGAAGAAGCTAATAATGAAATTGAGTTAACAGAAATTTCTTTTTATAGGTAAACTTTCCTGAAAATGGCTTTCTGTCTCCTGACAAACTCTCTTTGCTGGAAAAACTCCTACCTGAGAGGAAGGAAGTGGAAGAGACTGATGAAATGGATCAGGTAGAACTGGTGGACTTTGATCCAAATCAGGAAAGACGGCGCCATTATAATGGAGAAGCATATGAGGATGATGAACATCATCCCAGAGGTGGTGTTCAGTGTCAAACCTCTTAATGGGGCCAGTGAATAACACTCACTGCAGGCATTTTATATGCAGTAGTGAATGAGTGAAGGACTATAATCATAATATGCTCACTACTTGCTATTGTTTTTGTTTTAATATTCAATTATAGTAGTGTTTTAAAAGTTAAATGAAGAATAAACACAAATATAAAAGCTCTGACTTTGCCCTGTATGTATGATGACTTCAGTGTGCAAGAAGTTGTTTAATACCTGTAAAGACTACTTTTAAAAAAGTTCCCCTAGCATCTGTTAGGCTTGTAATTGATTTCAGCTGTGTATGTGGACAAACTTAGACTGAAATACTAGGTATATGTGTTGATTTCGGTGTATGACCCTTCATTGTTAAGCTATAAAATTAAAACTCTGTATTTAACTTGCAATCAGAAAAAGAAAACTTAATTTGTAGAGGAGTGTTGGTCTGTCTAGTTATTTGTATTAAGTGGGACTCTTGTGATGACTCTGCATTCTATTGCCTCAGCTTATTTGAAGGTGACATAATGTATAATTTTGCTTCTGGTATCAGTGAAAGAAATGATACCTTTCAAAAGATGGGGTTTATCATATGCTGCTTCTTAAGGGCTTGCACTTGTAGAATTGCATTCCCTTCTATTGTGCCATCTTTTAAAATATATATATATATATATATATATACATACACATATATACAAAACTGTGTTGACCAGTCCTGGTTACATTTTTCCCTTCTCTTTGGACCATGAAAAGCCCTGGTAGTGAAATCCAGAGCTGGATAACATAGAAATTAAAATGAAGAGACCTATACATGGAAAAGTAGTTTGCATGTATAATATAGGAAGGTGTTCCTTAGGTATGTTACAGACTTAAACCATTTGATTTGCCTTATGCTCCAAAGTAACTGTAATTTTTGATGTTGGTAGTCTAGCAAATATGATGAATAGCTTTAACTGTATGTTTAAAGTCATCATATGTTCACATGCTTAAATCTGGATATCAGAATTTAAGCAATTCTTGAAATGTATGAATGTCTCCTTAATATACTGATTACAAAGCATTTCCAGTGTGTCACTACAGGCTTTTTTTTTTCCCCCTCAGATCATGAAAGCATTAGATTTTAATTAAGATACATAGCTTCATTTTACTTAAAATTAACAACAAAATTAATATTAAGATAATTAAATGCTTAATATTAAACATGGGTGGGGAGTGAAAGTAGAGGGTTGACTTGGTGTGAATCAAGAGGAAAGGGGCTTTTAAAAACTTGTCAACCACTGGGTTTGAGGATAATAATAACTTCCTGCCTTAAACATTTCCAACCTGGAAGTAGCCTGAAAGTTTCCCTCATGCACTAAAGAGGAGAAACTAAACTTGGGGTAGAAAATAATATCCAAATCTTCAATGTTGGTTTGACACTGGTTCTCAATCTTCGCTATCACTGTCGGGAGGACTTCCCAACATGATGCATACTTCATAGCAGCTTCTCAGTGGGAAAGGAAGCTCTAAAAGCACAGAAAAGAGAATGCACAATACAAAAAAAATGCCATTCTTGCACCTTTTATCTTTCAAAATGTGTCATCTCATCCACCTTTGGGAATAGATAGCAGGAACTTAAACACCTTTTTTTTTTTTTTTTTAAATGGGAAAACCACCCTCTCTAGTCTACTGGTTTCTCAAATTTGAACATGTTTGCCAGGCCTCACTACCAATTTGATGGTATAAGTCTGGGGTAGGACCTAAGAATTTGTCTTTGAAGCAAGTTGCCAGGTAACATTAAGACCAGTGTTATAGTATGAGTAAAAGCTAGTGACTACAAAGAGGTCCAGATTCTTGCAATTCATTTATTTCCACTTACCTCACTACCTGTGGTTTGCTTGGGTAAATATTTAACAGAATGTGGAGAAACAATCCATGGTTTCTTTGTCTTAGCCTAAACTAAAAATTTGAGGAAAACAGGAGGAGAAGTAAAAAATGGAGCTCTGGAATTATCTGGTTTTCAATGTGAGCTCCATGCAAGTTGTGTCATTAAAGTATAACATGTCTGGAAATCATTTTTTTTATGTATTTGTGGGGTTTTTTATCTTTTTTTAAAATTTATTTAAGTAGGTATATATTACAGCAGAATGCATTTCGATTCATTTCACAAACGGCAACACAACTTTGCTTCTCTGGTTGTACACGATATAGCTTTGCACCATATGTCCAGTCGTACATATACCTAGGGTAATAATGTCTATCTCATTCTACCATCTTTACTGTCCCCAGTATTTTTTTAATGTGGTGCTAAGGATTGAACCCCGTATCTCATACATGTGAGACAAGCATTCTACCACTGAGCTACGTGCCCAGCCCCTTATTTGTGGGGTCTTAATAGAATCTCCCTACTGAAGTGGTTCTGAGACTTGAATAAGGCTGATTACATAGTAACAAAGAGCTTAATAAAGGCTATATTAGTGGAAGTAGTAAAGAGGATATATACCTAAAATTTCATGTCATTTAAAAACATGTTGCTTTGGAATACCTTAGGGTGCTATCTCAGATATTAAGTGGAGCATAGGACATAGGTCCTTAATCTAATGAACTTTAATGCCACATATTTTTGAGTTTATGTACTAAACTCCCAGGAACCTAAACCCATATACTTAATTTCAGAATAAGTGCACATAGATCCTTGGCACCCAACTCCCTTTAGCTTCTGCCATCATACTGGTAACATGATCCCAGGCTGGAGGTTGTTGCCCTTCAGAACAAATCCAGGGCCTCCTGCATGTCTAGAACTAGGGACACGCAAAAGAGGAAGTGTTGGAAAGTACTAAAGTTAGTCACAAGACAATAAGTGCACTACCATTTTTTAACCCTGAGTTTTGTGTGGAATAAAAGGCAAAAATATTTTCAATTTTGTTTGCTCAACATGCATTATGTTAACTTAAAAATGTAATGACTTCTAATCCAGGCTTTGGCCTGGTCTCCCAAGACTACCAATTTCTCTAGCACTTACTTTGCTGCCTTGCCAGTTTGCCATTCTTGGAAAGGTTCTCTCTCCTTAGACGCCAAACTACTTTCAACTCTTCCTCCTGGTTCTTCTTTTATGGTCACCTCCAGAAATGTTTTCTTAACCCATCAGCATATCACTGTTTTTGTCTAGCTCTTCTTTACCATAAGGCAGAAACTAGCCTTTTTTGCACCATCCCCAGCACTTGATGCTAGGAATAGAAGTGCTCCATAAAAATTCCTGGAAGAAATGAATGTGTGCTGACTGACTAGATTCTTGATTGTAAACTAGCACAAACTAAGCAATATCCAGTAGCCAGCTTGTGAAGTCAAGGACTAAATCAAAAACCTAACTTTTCGGGGCTGGGATGTGGCTCAAGCGGTAGCGCGCTCGCCTAGCATGCGTGCGGCCCGGGTTCGATCCTCAGCAGCACCACATACCAACAAAGATGTTGTGTCCGCCGAGAATTAAGAAAAAATAAATAAATGTTAAAATTCTCTCTCTCTCTGTCCCCCTCTCTCACTCTCTCTTAAAAAAAAAAAAAAAAAAAAAAACCTAACTTTTCAAAGGAAAAAGCATAAGTATAAGCTGTTTTCATGTCCCAATTTAATTTTAAGTAAAAGGCTTAACTGGAATGACAAGAGAATTCTAAAACTAATGGCTACATTCAACCCCCACCAGCATTTTTTTTCCCCAGTACTGGGGGACTGAACCAGGGAGGAGTTACATTCCTAACCCCTTCCTCACCTCTTTACTTTTTGAGACAGTCTGGCTAATTTGCCCAGGCTAACCCCAAACTTACTTATGATCCCACTTCAGTTTCCACACTCACTGGAATTGTGTCCCTATACCTGGCTTTCAACTAGCATTTTTAAATGTCAAAATGACATCTTGGACAAAAGCTGCAGGTTTTTTTTGGAAAAAGGGAAATAGTTATAGAATGTGAGAGATTTCTTAATGCTGTTCCGAATTCAGCCAATATTGAGCATTACATGCCAGGCACAGGATCAAGCTGCATTTCAAGTAACAATTAAAGGTAAACTAAAGGGCTGAGGATGTAGCTCAGTGGTAGAGCATTATCTAGCATTTGCCCTGGGTTCAGTCTCAGTAGTATTTAAATAAGAAGTCAAGTGCAGTGGCACATACTTAATCCCAGCTACTGGGGAGGCTGATCAGGGCAAGAGGATCACAAGTTCAAGTCCAGGGGCTGGTAATGTAACTCAGGAAGAGTACTCCTGGATTCAATCCCCAGTACTGAAGACAGCTAAGTAAAGTCTGTTATCTCAGCAGCTTGAGAGGCTGAGACAGATTACAGGTTCAAAGCCAGTCTAAGCAATGGTGAGGCAATTCAGACCCTGTCTCTAAATAAAATACAAAATAGGGCTGGGGATGTGGCTCAGTGGTTTGAGTGCCAGGAAAAACAAAAATTTAAAAGGCTGGAAATGGTAAACCTGGGTTCAGTCTCTAGTACCAAAAAAAGAAGAAAAAAATGCTAACATTAAAAGGGAGCATAGAAGGCCTACAGAAACAAGATTTCACATTCTTGAAAGTGCCTAGCACAGATATATGGCACTTCTGATGTATGAAGTTTCCTATATTTGTTGAAACAAAAAAGGTATCCATATGTAAAATTGTTTTTTCAAGAGTAAATGCATTACTTTAGCTAACTGGTAAAGATGCACATTGCAAGAGATTTCTGTAAGTCTTAGATCTTAGGTTTTCTTAAAAACAACAGCACATTTTCAATGCTAGACCTTCCTCCACAAAAAAGAGAAGACAAGACTTTGAATTCTCATAACTGATCCTGCAGCTAGCTCCATCCAGAAGATGGAGACAATATTCCCTAGAGTTGATCTGAATGTGTAAGAAGGCCAGCCAAGAAGGGGCTAAACTGAGACCTTATGCCATCAACTGACCTTTCTCACTCAGACCAGTCTATCCTCCTATCCTAAGAACATGCTGGACTTGAGATTCAACAATTATTTTCTCCCACCCTTACACCCACCCCCACTTTTTGATCCTAAGTAAGTATGTTAAGTACATGTGCACTTATTTACAAGATCTCCAGAAAGGTGTAAAGTTTATTAACATCTTTAAAAAAAAAAAAAAAACAGCGATTGAATATGGGGATACTTATTTACAAGTTTTAAGATGGGAGGGGCACATTTTAATCAGCATTTCAAATAATCAAAGGAGTACATTTTTTTTCCTAGAAATATCATTTTCTCTCTCCAGAAAGAAGATAAATGAAAGCATTAAGTGAATGCCCCAGTTAGAAGCAGATAAACTAATACCTTAAAAATATTTTTTAGAAAGGGTAACTGCTACTTCGGCAAGAATTTTCACAAAATTATTTCCATGGCTAACTCAGACAATTTCTTTGCTTAGAAAAGCTGGCCTAAAGAAGCAAAAGAGCAACACATGAATACATCCTCACTTAAACATGCTTTCAAGCTAGTTTCTGAAAAGCTGAATTAGGGTTTCCAGAGCTTTAGGAGTCCATCTTCACTATAGGTAGCAATCAGGTTCTGATGAGGGTGATGTGCAATACCAATCACATCCTTCTCATGAACCTGGAAAAAGTTAAAGCACAGATTAGGGTATGCAGATCTCTTAACAAATCACTCTTTACAGGCTTCTAGAGCTGGAGTGGGTGGGATGGAAGAGTGATCCTGAGAAACCACATATTGCAAATGGCACAGCTGGAAGACAGAGAAGAGCTATCCAACTCACATTACATTGTGTTATAATAAACTTTTATTATGTTAAGCCCCTCAGATTTGAAGACTGTTACAGTAACTGGCATTATTTTTTGTACTGACTTTAATATCATGAGAGTTAGAAATTTCAAAAACTTCCTAATCAATTTAATTAATATAAAACACAAATAATGTGCCTTCAAAAAGGTTCCACAAGAAAAAACTATTTGGCTAGACAAGTGTATACCTTTTCTTCTCTTTGTATGCTCTCATTCTCTCCACCTGAAGTTTGGGGGGCGAGGCAGGGTTGTCACTAAAGGAATGACTTGACTTGATAAAAAGGGCAATGCCACACATTTATAGTTG